CTTATCAGATATGCTAATAGCTTTGGCTATTTGATTTATAGTCACTTGCCTGTCATCCATCACCATGTGGTGAATATGATCAAGGTTTTCCTTGGTGGTAGCTGTTGCAAGATGTCCTGACCTTGGGTCATATGCAAGACACTCCTTGCCCCTCTTAAATTCAGCTGCTCACTTTTGCACTGTTGATATTGCTAGAGTGTTATCCTTTAATGTAGCAACCATGTCAACATGAATGTCTTTGGTGGCTAAACCTTTTCTTTTTTTTTTTTTTTTTTTCTTTTTTTTTTTCGGTATTTGATAAAACCATAATGCTAAATTTTGTCCATTTTTCAAGAGAAGTCATTACTAGTTACTTTTGAAGTCTTTGTTCAGCAGTCAGATGCCAGTTTACCTGGAAAGAAACAATGCATTTTTTAATAAGAGTTGAAATTAATGCATGCAAGATTTCACAACTCTAACATCATCAGTCTATGAACTCTTCAGTCCACTCTCATTCATCATAACTCTTGTTTTCAGGTTAAAATGAATTTTGGTATTATCATAAATATATCTTTGAGGAGGAAAAAATTATCCTTATTAAACAAATTCATGTTCCCCACAGGTTAGCAAGTATGGTAGCTCATAACATAATTTGCATATTTTGTATTTTAAGTCTTAGTAAAATGAGGTGTACATTTCAGTAAACTCTATTTTTTTTAAATGCCATGTTCTATCATGATACTGCAGAAAGAAATGGTAGTCTACTGTGAGAAATTTTCTGTCTAGTAAATCATGAATTGAAAGAAACATGATCACCCATGTGTGTATCACATATGGCACTTAACTTTATTTTTTTTTTTTTTTTTTACTCTTTCATGACATAGGTGATCATAGGTCTCCTTAATATTCCTTTTCTTCAGTATCTGAATTACCATGATTTCTTAGGAAGTGATTGGAATGGTTTCTTGTTGCCTTCTCCAGGAATTAAGAGTCGCTCATCTCTTTGACTGGCTGCCACTCCAGGTTAGATAACTTAGTCTATCGTGCTTTTTACCCCATAGCTGGGAGTAAGATGAGATGGATTTATGCCTTTCTCAAGCACTTAGTGTGAAAGGTAGCACAATAGACTAGGCCAGAATTTGTAATTACTGATTTCACATTCAGGACCAATAATAATGCTGCATGCACATCCTATTAATCACTGACCATCCCCCAAATTTTATGAAAACATTGTTTTTCTTACATTCTCTTTCTTTTTTTCCAGCAAATGTAAACTTCCCCATACAAAACATGCCCTCACTTTCTTGCCTTTAACTACTGCTTGGTAAACACTAAGAAACTCTCACTCACTCCTTCACTGTCGTGTGTTTGACATTCCTATATGAACTCCTAGCTGCTACCTTGTGATAATTCTTCAGACATGTGCTTGAGTGTATCTGAGTAAGGTAAGGTGAGAGACTGGGTTGATAATTAGAGGATTAACACAAAAACCTTGTCTTGCTGTGTACCTGTTATTATTATTGACGTTCTCATAGTTAATTTGTCACTCAATCCACCCATGGCAGATCAGTTTTCTTGCCCATGTCATCACTCTTCTAACCCTGTCAATTTGCTTTTAATCAAATTATCATATATATAGTCTGACAGGGCAGGATAAATTTAGGAAGTGTTTTTTTTTTTTTTTTTTAAATGCTTCTTTTGTGAAGGATATAAGAAGGTTGTTGATTACTATTTTTATGTGACCCAAATTATGATAATTATGTGACATAGAGTAGAGGCAGGGAAATATGTGATACGGAGATCTCTGGAGGTTGATCAAACAAAAAGAGAAAGAAGGAATAGGAGAGATGGATGATAATTGTTGAAATTGCAGAAGATGGATTGAAGAGTTGAGAAGAAAAATTAAAAAAAAGAAATACATTGAAAAATCTTGTTTTGAGATAATTCTGAGGAGAATCAAATCTGGATTAGACAAAATTCAGTGAGATTAAACAAACACAAAATTGCCTGTCCTTCCTCATATCCTACCAATAAGAAAAAGACCATTAAGGCATCTGCAAACATGTCAGATAAAATAAAAACATATGTTGTGAATAGAGGAATCCGAGTGGTCAGCTGGATCAGATAAAATAAAAACATATGTTTTGACTCAACCACCCAGAAGAAAAGATAATTGTGGGGACATTCATCCAGAGAAAATTTTATATCCAAGCATTAATTCAGATTTCCTTGGACACAAGTGGTAAGGAAAAAAATTAATTACTATTTTGAAATGGCCATGAGCAGGAAGGCTGTATGGTCTAGTCAATCATAAAACAAATGCAGAGAAAAGATAAACTTTTGTTTCTGAGGATATTGGAAATAATTTTATTTTATTTTCCAATTCTTGAGTGGTCTGTTCAATGGAGAAATCACAATATAGGACAAGATGATAAAGAAAAATTACTGACTGAAAATCTCTTTTGTTTTCACTGCGCTTATCTGGAAAGTTGGCTGAGGGTGGTTGTTGAGAAAGTGGGAGAAGGGAGAGAAAGAGATTAGCACTGCCTATATAGAAGTTATGGTATGAGGCAAGGTGTAAAGAGAGTAGGAGTTAATGGAGGGCTTGATTCCTCTGACCACTCTCAAAAGGGGAATGGACAATGCCAAATTTGGAAAACCACTTGAGTAAATGTATTTTTATATATGGAAATTTAGAAAAGGTTGATATTTAGGGCAGAAGACAACGAAACCAGAGACCCTAGTTAACCCCACCCTTGCTGGATGCAGGACTCCATATAAGCTGGAGATTTTGGATTCAGAAACAGTTGAGTTGACAGTTGGGATTGGAGAAGAACAGAAAAAAGACACACACCAGAATCCGCATCATTCACCGATACCTCTTGACCAATGACTTTGTGCTGGACATGAAGACCAGAATTTAGAAATTTAAGTTACTACTAAAACAAGCTGCATGCTCTGAAGGTGATCCCAGTGTCATTTAATAGTAACAAGTGAGAAGGTTTAAGACCACTGTATACAACAAATCATATATAATCCAAATCATTGTTACATTTTTAACTTAAGTTAATTCTTTATTCCAAAGGATTCTTCTTTTTGTTTTTTTTTGTGTGTAGCTTCCAAATTGTTGAACTGTCCTCACTTCAGCTTGCTTCATCAGCGATCTTCTCACTGTGATGTGACAGAGGAGTGAATGGTCATGAACGGGTAAATGCTGGCTAAATTGAGTGCAGTCAACACGATACCAGTGACAAAACAAGTCATACCAATTCATGTGCTAACAAATGAAGAGTCATCTAAATGATAACCATGGCAGTCTGAAAGAACTTAAGGACTGACGACTGGTTGACGTAATTGGTTACTGCTGTCTAGGGTCGATGACAGGGGTACATATTTGGTTACACTGTTGGCCAGGTTCGACAGATGGAGGTTACAAATAACTAGTGACTGTTTGATTTCAGGCAAACATTTCTCGGTTAACAACTCATAATACGAAATGTTTGCTTGAAACAGATATTTTACTGCAAAATTATTGTCTTATTTAATAAAAAAAATTAAGAAGATAATTTTTAATGCAGAGACAATGTTTAATGAATTTAAAATCAAGATTCTAAAAAGATTGTGAAAAGGTTTTCTTGCAAATCAAATATGGTAACTTTTAACCGTGTAGGAATTGTGACCATACCATACACCTGTGGCCATTGTGCAGTTTTTCATTAACTAGATAGCTTCACCATCAATGATTTATTTCTTGTTTATGTTGGTTTGAACAAAAACTGAGAAAGACTTGTAAGTTCAACATAGAACAGTAGATGAAATAAAGCCACTATTTTCAATATAATTGGTTCATTATTCATTGGAAGTAGTAGGTGACACTTTGCTGCTGTTTTTCTCTTCTCTCATGATAGGCTAACATCTAAACTAGCCATGAATTTATTTTTCATATTTATGTCTTGTTAAATATTTTCAGAATTTTTAATATGTGAAGGACTAATTGTTCCAAGAAGAGGAGTTATTTATTTATTTATTTATTTTTTGCTAGAGTTTTTTTTTTTCCTAATTTATGGGGAATACTGCCAGTCCTATCAAGCAGTCCTATCATATGATAGATTGCAAAGGAATGCTTGGTTTTAGGCAAAACATAAATTCCAGGTATTTGTGGGGGAGCAGTCAATCAATTTTGATTATATTTTCTCATTATTAGTTAGCTTTCTAACTGATTTGTTGAATTTATACGTATCAGAAATGATTTTATGTTCATCATTTTTTTTCATTAACGATATTCATATCTGTGATAACAATTTCACTTTGTCTGAGGCAGTGATAAAAATGCTTTTATTTAGATAATTTTCCCAATGCATTTATGTATTTTTGTGGTAATGTGATTTCATTGTCTGTTCCTAATGTAGCAATAACTATTACTTGTATGAAAACATTATTCTTACTTATGGTTTTTAATTATTTAATCTAATATCTATTTCTTTTTTTTTTAATCCTGACATGCATACACACATATATAATTATGAAGTAATGGATAGCAGTTCAGATTAAGTAATTGGAGAGCCAAGTTTGAATTTCAGTCAAGTTCATTACATTCCCTTAAATGCTAATATCCTGAGGTAAGGTATTAATCCATCTCTTCTTCCCACAGCTATGGGTAAATAACAGGACAGACCTTGGGTGGAAACTGGTCTAGAAGGGAAACTCAAAACCTGAAGTGGGTCATTTGGGGACCTTATGGCACACTATATTCATCACCTTTCTATATTTGGTTCTTCCAGAAAATGTGGTTAGTTCGGTACAAGCCTTCACCACTATAATCAAATCATATGTGTGGGTAATCTGGCGGTTTGGTTCTAAGAACTGAGCTGCTGGACCCTCATAAAACAGGAGAGTCCCCCATATATAATGATTAAAATGAAAGAAAATTTAGATACATTTGTTTAATCAATCTTACATAAACATCAGATTTGTGTGTATAATACTTACGATGATCAATATCTTTGTTTCTTTTTCCATAGGCGATAATTTGCATTGTGCTCCTCTCAAGAGACCCTACAAGTCCAAAGTATTGGCACATTACCCAAAATCAGTGCCATGGAATCCTTTCGACAAAGAAGCCGTTGGAATGGTGAGTACACAAAAACTTCAATATTTTCTTTCAGGGTTTCAACACAGGCATACATTCTTGCACACGTGTATCTACTTAACTACCTATTGGCCTACTTGCTTTGTCTCTCATTTTGTTGACCTGTTTACTTATTTGTTACTCAATCTTTATGTCTCCTCACTTTATCTTCTTGATACTCTTTCCTACAATCTTTTCTACACTGAAAAATAATTACATATTTGACTTCTACTAGCATACTAGTTGTAAATAATTGACTAGATTATTTATATATGCATTGTCACTTCTGCCTAGGATCAGAGTATCTGTGCACCCTGTCTCGGATCAGTGTCACTTTCTGGCATTTCTGCAGGGATTAAATTTAATTTCAATATTGTCTGAATAGTGTTACACACATTATCAACCAAATCCGGCATTAGACCAACTAGAATTCTGACCCACAAATGCACAATAATTATGCACATGAATGTTGCTTGATAGGACAAATAGACGTGAGGTCTGCTTAACTGATAAAAAACAAACACAAAAATAAAAAATACCCAAATTTTCTTTTTTTTTCCTCCATATTTTATTTTCTGAAGACGCTTAGATAGAAGCGAAGAATGTTAAATTTATAAACATTTCCTATTTGTTCTTTATCCTATCATTCTGCCAGATACTAATCCATATTTGAGATATATATATCAGCTACTACAGAAGACGCCTAATGTTGCCATATCTGCTCTGCCCATATTTGAGGATAGATCATGCAATGACATTGGTCAAAATCTAGTTGCTGCCATCATATATCTCCAAATAGGAGAAAGAACTGATGGAGTAAAAATTCACAGTTTGCAGCATTTACTTTTTAAAAAACTGCTCAATACAAAGTAGGCAAAATATTATTATAATAGATTACAATATTATTATAATATTTTTATTATAATAGACTGTAGTTTATTGTAATATATATATATATATATATATATATATATATATATATATATATATATATATATATATATATATATTACTAGCTTAAAATCTGCTCTATCGGGTGGCATTTAAGCTAGCTCCTGTGGAGGGGTCTTGATTGAGCCTTCAGTTTGTTCAGGAGTTTAAGAGTCACTAAGTCTTTGCATATTTTCAGTGTTGAAACCTCCCCTGACTGCTGTTTGATCTGTGTTTTCATTTGCATGGGATTTTCTTTTCCTCACTGCAGCCTTGGCTCTATTGATAGCAATCTAGTCTTCTGTTGGCAGAGATTTCTTTTTACCAGGCATACTGTTGCCGTATGCAATAGGTGGCAATAAACTACAGAAGAACTCAAAATTGATCACTGCATTTAAGTATTGCATTAATATTTAAGCTTGCCTTTTAAAAGTTGAACAATAATTCTTTTGACAACGCAAAAGACAATTTGATGTACATAGGTCCTTACTTTCTGCACAAACGATTATTTTTATTTCATGGGTGACTTTTGCTGGATTTCACTGTTAATTTTGATTAATTGCAGTAATGAGAACATGGGAATCCAAAATTTCTGTAACATCAGCTATTGAAAGTTAGAGAGTTGTGTCCCTTTAATTGAAAAAGTGTGACACACGACATTAAGATCTATTCCACCACTGTTACATGTGAACCTGCATTCATTTCAAACTCCAGACTATTAACAACATCCCCTTACTTTCTCTCAACTTCTACAATGTTCAAAAGTACTTGGAACATTACGCACAATTTTGGCAAGTTCTTTTACATGTTTCAACTGGACTCAAACGAGTTATTTGACACCTGGAGAAACTCATCAAAAAGTTTAACAGGCACACCTTATCAATTATGTTTAATAAAACATTTAAATGAAGGATTGCTGCCTAAACATACACTGTTTATATATATATATATATATATATATATATATATATATATATATATATATTTTTTAACTAGTGGTTGCCAGAGAGATAGGAGTCACTCCTTTTAACAGGCTACAGTTACAAGCCAGAGTTTTTTTTTATATGTAGATGAATATTGGAAGCCTGATTGAACAAATTGTGGTGATATCATTCAAAGAATGCTGTATTATGTTTGTACTGGATGGCAGTGAAGATGACATCCTTTTTGAGGAAGGACAAGGTGACTCTGGATAATGTTGGCATCTGACAATATAAATGAAATTGGCACAATGACTGTCTTTGACACAGCAGTGATACAGACTAAAATTTCTTCAATATCTATATAAATAATTAAAGCAAGTGTTACATGTTAGTTTGGACCATAGATATAACTTACTTTCAGTTATACCATCCCAAATACAAAGCCAGAAATAAGTTAATACTTATTTTTCATGTATAATATGCAAACCTTACTTTTAGGTTTAAAATTCAAGAAAAAAATATACACAAATAATTTTGGTAACTATATAACTCATCAGGTAAGCAAATACAAGATGGTAACAAAAATTGAGAATTCAAGATGAAAAATGGTTTCTGCAAATAAACCAACATCTTGAAGAAAAATGATTCTTTATTTCATGGTGGAGTGATTTTAAGAGATGTGTGAAATGTCCTGTGAGACAGAGGAAATACTAGGTAATTCAACAGATGATCAGATTGGTTAATCTGTTCAAATTTCCTAAAATTAGTTTAAGAAGATTAATAATACTATTAATAATAAATAGAGGCTTACTGAACAGTTTTATTAAGGAAAAAAAGTATGTACCATACATCATATAATGTCAGTGAATAAAAACTTTGATAAAATGTTGTAAAGAGCATAATGTTTGAAAAAGAACTGATTAGAACTTAATGTAAAATATGAATTTTTAGCATATATTTTATTTTTTTTTTATAGGTTGAGTTAAAAAATATGCACAGTTGCTTTATAATCTTTTTTGATGTATAAATACAGACCTGTATACATATATCTGGAGGTATGCATGCATAAACCTGCTATTAACATATCATCCCTTGTTAATAAATCTATAAATAAGATCTTGATTGTGAGATTTCTGATTTTCAAACTTTTTCACTCTTTAATTAAAGTCCTTAACACATTATCATGCTTGCTTCCCACCTACAAAATGACAATGAACATTTGGGCAACCAATCGATACCTGCTTGTGCACAATCAGCCTTTGTTCAGATTCATTCAACCAATGTTATTTTGAGACTGAGAAAAAAAATTCTTCAAGTGGCAAATATGATGTTTATTCACTTCTTTTCTTTCATAGAATTGAAAACAAAATTCCAGTGGACAAAATCAAACCAAACTTGTTTGTCTTTAATTGGATCTTCCTTCTTAAACTAAAAAGTTGAAATATGAAAAAATAAATTTTTTTTTTCCTTATGTTGCAAGACATCAATATACACAATATATGTAGTAATGGCAATATTAACTGTTTCCTTATAAACAAACATTTGGCATTCATTGACCAAGCATCTAGTCCTACCACTATTGAAATTTATAAAACCTTTCTATTACAAAAGTTTTTCAGGAAAATAGTTTTCTCAAGTCCAGCAACTGTTATCACTTTTTCCAGTACTGATAGGAGCTTCCATCCTAAGCTATTGTTTGAAGTAGTTTAATTAGGTTAATGTTTTGGTTTTGTAGCAACTTGTGGTGTTGGGTGAAACTACAGCTAGTGCACTCTGTTCTATGTTCAATTTTCTTTTCTCCTATACTAAATTTGTTGCAGCTGATCCATAAACCAAGATATTTGAAGTGATTAGTATTTACTAATTCCACATTCTGAATTTCTATAATGGATTCAAGATATATGCCATCACTGCTTTCATTCCAATTGCAGATCATAGTTTCTGTTTTGGAAAGGTTTATCTTCACTCCTGTTTCTTGGAACATTTGGTTGAGGATATTGATTTTCTTTTCTTTTTTTTTTTTTTGTCAAGATCATTCTTATTCCAATTATGAATACCTATGTCATCAGCAGCCCTCGCTTGTCTTCAGTGCATTGGCCTTGAGCGAAAGCATGAACACTCTTTTCAATTAGTAGATTTGTTTGGAATATGGTATGAAATGGTTAGATGATCTGTGCTTATATATGTACAGAGTATAGTCTCAGAAAAACTTAAATAGAATGGGACTCTCATTTCTTCCTTGTAATCCTGATGAACTTTGAAATGTTTGTGTGCTGGAGCCTTCAACAGACAGGAACAAGTTAGTGGGCCAATATAGTTCCTCTACCAGATCTAGGCATTCAGTGGAGTCTAAGCTTTGGAAATGGTTTCTAATGAATGAAAAGAGGAAATCTCTATTGATATGCTCATATACTGCTGAGAGGTCAACATAGCAGATATACAATTTTCTATTGGAGAGTTATGCAATTTCTTGGAGTTGTTTGATAACATATATGCTATCATTACAACACTTATCAGAACAAAAACCAAACTGGATTTTGAGGAGTTAACTTTCAGAGAATGATGGGAGCCTAATTAATGCAATGCTCATTAGTACTAATATATCTCAAGAACAGTATTGGGGAAATTTCATGACAAAGTGGAAAAAGCTTACTTGTGATATGTTTTGTCCTTCAGGACTTCATCGAACTAATTTTGTTATGTTGGTAGGACTATACATGCACACGGCAGAGGTGTGCTGGGAAAAATATATTATCCTGCCAACGAATTCTATCACATCTACAATTGAAAAGAATCTATCTAAACTCAACATAAAAGTTGTTACTACTACAGCCAAAACAATAAAAGACTTTGTCAATACTAAACAAAACAATAAGCTAAAATTAATTCACTACAATGTAAATGTCTAGAGAATACGTTGATCATAAGGTCAGGTACAGTAAATTTGTATCCTGGCTCTTACAACATTTCAATATTCCTGGCAGATCTAATATCACAGTGTGGAGTACCTACTTACAAAAGTGGTGTAAAGAAAAAGAAAGACTAAATGAATTCAGCTAGATAAAAATAAAAATTCTAAAATTCCTGGCACTTCTCTGCCATGTGTATGTGTAGTCCTACCAACATAATAAAATTAATCCAATGAAGTCCTGAAGGGTTAAATGTGTCACAAGTATGTTTCCACCTTGTTATAAAATTAAATTTCCCCAATACATATATGAATTTGTGATAAAATTAGTATTAATCAACCAATATTGGTAAAATTTGCAGAGATATATTTATATAAGAAGCTTATATATCCTTATTAAATATATTGGTAATAACTTGCATTGAAGGTGTCATATTTTATTGTGCAAAGTGCAGCATAAATTTTTATTTATCAATGTACCCAAAAGGTATACATCTTAGAAACATATTTGATTCACACAATATCCTATATGCATGATTAAATATTATTTTCTGTATTCTGTATTATTTTCTGTATTTTGTGTTCTTGTTCCACTGTATGGACAATGGAACAAGAACAGTCTACTCCTGTAGGTTGAATAAAGGGTTCAGTTCAAAATTGACTGACACATGAAGAAGAATATGAGGCACAATGGTCAAAATGTTGTGATAATATCAAAAAAAATGATTCGAACTGTGAATAATGTAAATAATGATAATTCCTCAATCCTGTAATATAGACAGATACTTTTCTCTGACAGAAATCCTCATCATTATTCCTCTTCAATAAAAGATATCCAACATTTAGGATGGTTACTAAAATTGTCTTGAATCACTGAAACTGAAAACTGATTGCTCCTTCAAGGCACAATAAAATGATGATCACAATATACACAAAAATAAAATATATTGATGTTATTACTCATTTTTTTTTTATTTTTTTTTTTTAAAAAAGCAGATCACATTATGCATTAGTAATGTGTGTGTGTGTGTGTGTGTAATTCATTTGATCTTTGCCAAAGAATATAACAATATTGTTTAACCAATTGTAATGAATAGGAGTTGACATGCCGTTAAATCCAACATCTATCCAACATCCATCCAATTGTAATGGAACAATATTAATAATAATTAAAAAAAAATTCAATTTAGGAAGAAAAGTAATGTATTGCAGATTCAATTACTTTAGCCAATACAATAAAAGTTAATGAGCTAGTTTGTAATATACTTGAATACATTTCTGCAATAACTGAGTTATAATACTATTAAAATGAAAAAACAGCAATAAATTGCAGTTGTTGAATATTAATAAGTCATCCTCAAATGGAGTGGCATTGTTCACTTCAAATGGAACAGTTAATAGTTACCTGGCCTTATTTTATTTTGTAATAGTATATAGTCATAATCGTATTTCAAGTAGCACTAGTTTGTTGTTTGACAGCAGATCAATGCTACTGTATTGAATTGGTAGATTCAGGTAGTAAGCGGTACTCTCTCCCTATGTCCCTACTTTATAATTATCTATTCCCGTATGTACATTCCTACATACATATACTCATGAAAGCTTAAATCCAAACATAACACTTATGTAGACTTGACTTGTATAACAGATGTCAACTGTTGTTATTGAATCTCATGTTGTTTGCATGAGAATTTGACATAGTTGAAGTAATTAGCATTTTTTTGTCTGGATACATCTATTGGTGAAATGCTGTTGGTCATTGTCCCTGGCTGTTAATAAGCTACTGGTCATTTTTCATTAGTCCATGACAGCTGACCAACATAAGAGGATGACAGGCAATACTAGCAATATAACTGCATACTGTTTACTCTACAGATTATCAATAGGAGTTTTCTTCTTATAGAATATAGGTGATCATGGCTCTCCACAATTTCCCCTCTTTTGTTGCTCTTGCCCTTTTACTACTCTTCTTTCTTCTTTTTCTAACATCCATTCATCTAAACTTGCCAAGAAATCTCCCACTGCTTCTTTTACCTTCTGTATATCCTGTGAGTGTTAAATTCTCCAAGCCTGCCTTCTTCATTACAGGTCCAAGAAATTTCAGCTGCTAACAGCAGTTTCTTTGTAGTTCCTATTCTCCTTAAAACATTCATATTCCTGGCTTATGTTCAAATCATGTTGAAACACCAATTCTTGTACAATCACTGAAGTTAAGCAATGTTAAGCCTGGTCAATATCTAGACTGCTTGGGAATACCAGGTCCTGTAAGCTAGGATGTGCCTGCAGTGTAATTGCTAATGGCTCAGAATTGGAAATCAGAGAGCCAAGTTACAATTCCATTCAGTGTCATTATATTCCCTTATCCACATCTTCTCTATTCAGCTGTGGGTTAATTAATAGGATTTATATCAGTAACTCATTATTATCTCCAAAAAAATTCTTACAATCTAAAAATATTTTCTGGCTTTAAATAACCTGCAAAAGGTTGATAAACCATAAAAACAAATCAATTGGTTACATATACCTCCGTGGTACTCAAATCAATATCAGTAGTATTAAAATAAGAAATCAATAGACCTAAAGTAATAAAAATGAATAATTTCTCCTATGTACTTCAAAGTTGTGGGCAATC